CATCCATCCATCCATCCATCCATCCATCCATCCATCCATCCATCCATTATCTTCTGCTTATTCTGAAGTCAGGTCTCGGGGGCAGCCCCTTGAGCAGGGAGGTCCAGACATCTCTTTCTACAGCCACCTCTTCCAGCTCTTCTGGCAGGACTTCATGGCGTTCCCAGGCCAACCGAGAGACATAGTCTATCCAACGTGTCTTGGGTCTTCCCCAGTGTCTCCTCCCAGTTGGACATGCCCGAAGCACCTCCCTAGGGAGGCGTCCAGGGAGCTTCCTTACCAGATGCCTGAACCACCTCAACTGTCTCCTCTCGATGTGCAGGAACAGTAGTTCTACTCCAAGTCTCTCCTGGATAACTGAACTTCTCACCCTATCTCTGAGGGAGAGTCCAGCTACCCTGCAGAGGAAACTCATTTCAACCTCCTGTATCTATGATCTCATTCTTTTGTTCACTACCCAGAGCTCATGGCCATAGGTGAGGGTAGGAACGTAAACTGACTGGTAAACAGAGAACTTTGCTTTACAGCTCAACTCTCTCTCTTCACTACAGCGGACTGGGACAGAATCCACAATACTGCAGATGCTGCACCAATCCACCTGTCAATCTCACGCTCCATTCTTCCCTCACTCATGAACAAAACCCTGAGATACTTGAACTCCTCCACTTGAGGCAGAACCTCACCCTTGACCTGAGGGTGCAAAATGCACAAGTAGGAATATTCTGTGCATACAAATCGTCAAATACACGTGCACATATTACCAGCTGCAAACAGATGAGTTAGCATGAGTGCTCAGATCAGCTGCCGGTGACTTTGAGACTTTTTTGTACCACTTCAGATTCACAAAGGTAATGCTGTGTTCAAGGCAGGTGAAAAGCTGGGACAGCTGAGATGTTTGGGAAAAGACACATTTTTAACTTGACACTCATAACCTCTATTTTAAAACACATGAACTTACACTGACATTACTGGATTACAAAACTCAACTTTTGTAAACTGTACAATTAAATTAAAGAACCTAAGGTGAGTGGATCATCCGTCATGTGGAAAATTTATCTTGTGGTATGCTTGTGGATCTAATTGTACACATACAAATCTTGTACACTTGTATGACTACTTTTGAGACTATTTTATAGTTGTGGTCATTGTTCTTTTGGACACAGTTTGATTTGACCCATATGGACTCACATTTGTTTCCAGAACCCTTTGGTTTCAGAGGAGTTCATGGTCCACTCAATGACTGCTTGGAGCCCAAACCATCAGTCCTCCACCACCTTGCTGACAGTTAAGGCTCCCACAGACTTGGGCATACTGTGAGCTGTGCGGAGACTGCACACTCTGTCCGCCAACGGTTGAGACTTCATACTTGAGAGTACACCCTGATGGGCAGCAGCCGAGCTTTGCAGGCAAGGGGCGTTTATCTTCAGGACAAATTGAGGTTGCCAATTGGTCATTTGCTGACACGCCTACTGGATTAATTGACAGGTCACAAAAAAGAAAGAAAAAAACGAGAGCTGCAGCGGTGTTCTGTGTTTATATGTTGTTTATAAAATGTTCTAAAAATAAAAATAACAAAAACAAGAAGTGCTGGCCCTGCAGCCCACACATCAGACCAGCACACCAGGAAATCTCCAGACCCTCCCGCAGCCACGCTGGGCCTGATTTTAATTCTCTCGTGACAAATTCCTTCATTTCTTACAATTTCAGTCATAGTGTCAACAGACAAAGAGGAAGAGATCGCTTGCCTCTTGAGAAAAACAAAAAACAAAGGAAAAGGCCATTAAACCAGATCAGGGATGAAGAAGGGGGATTTCATACATTGGTGTTACATACAAAACAGTCCGTCGCCGGGCAGTTTAATGTACGACAGAGAGTACGCGTACGTGGTCGTAAAAATTGATCTTTGCGCGGACATGCCCTGCGGGCGTCCACTTCGAGTCTAATCCAGTACATGCGGACTGAAGTACGCTCGAGTATGTGGGAGCCTTTACTGAGGAAATCGTGCTGATATACTGTTTGGTTTTCTCCAAACATGGTGTAGTGCATTATGGGTAAACTACTCTACTTTGGTCTCACGTGTCCAAAAGGCTTGGTTCCTGCAAATGAAACTTCACAAACCTAAGTTGTGCTGCCATGTTGGTTTTAGAGAGGTTTCCTCCTGTAACCCTCAAAATGAGCTGTGACCTTTGACCTTCTAACTGAAGTCTATAGAGTCTGAAGTGGAGCTCATTTCTCTGAGCATGGCATGGTCTGACCTATGGGGTGAATTTACTAGGATGTCCACTCCTGGAAGAATGTCTGTCTTAACTCATAGATACTCTTTCTCTCTAAGGTAGACTATATGTTTTGGAACTGACTTTGAACCCTCTCTAAGGTCATTGCTGATGTTTTTCCATCTTGGCATTGTGTTAACACACACCTGTTAACTGCCAAGAAAGATTTTACTGGGAAGTCAATGTTCCTTCTTCATTTAGTGAAATTTCCTCTGGTTTAATGTTTCAGGGATCGGTCTGGGCATCGTGGTCAGAGAGTATGCGTCCCTCTCCCATCTTGACAAACAGTACTTTGGCTTCCCAGGAGAGATCCTGATGCGGATGTTGAAACTCATCATCCTTCCACTCATCATTTCCAGCATGATCACAGGTGAGCTGCACAATGACGGCCTGTAGAAAAAATGAAGAAATGCAAGTCTCCACATAATGAATAAAAGTCTCAGAGCTTCAAAGGAGCTAGTACAGCAACAGGTAAAAAAAAAAAAAAACAGTCTGCAAACTAGAATAATACACACTGTAATACAGCCTGATAAAAGTGGGTGCATATACAATGTACATACAAGGCACAACACTTACTGGTGCATACCTGGTATTTACTGGTTACTGGTTACTTACAGGATACTTAATGGGTATTTACCAAAAGATACCTGCTAATTGGGTACTTACTGGTTATGTATATTGTACATACACAGTACTTACCAGGTATATAGCCCATAAGTACCTTGTATATACCAGGTACAGACACTGTAGGTACAGGGTACGTACCAGAATGTCAGGTTAAATTCTTGATAAACATCAGAAAGACAAAGCATGATGGCACTTACTTGGTACGTACCTGGTTTTTACCTGGTGAGATTTTACTGGGGAGTCCGTGGCTCAATGGTTAGAACAGTCATCCTCCAAAGAGAGAGTCACAAGTTCAATTCCACCAGTATGCAGTAACATGTGTGAAGTATAACTGGGCAAGACACATAACCCCTCATTGCCTTCAATGAGCCCAATGTACAAATGTGATCTAAAAGCACTGATTAGACTAGAAATGTCCAATCCTGGTCCTCAAGGGCCACCGTCTTTCATGTTTTCCGTGTTTCCCTGCTCCAGTACACCTGATTCAATGATTAAATTCCCTTTTCACGTTCTAGAAAAGCCTGTTAATCACCCAAATATTAATCTGTGCTGGATTAGACTCCATAGAATGTTTTATTCAGATTAGCTTTGTAGCGACATAGTAGAGTGCTGAATGTGTGTGGGGATGGGTAAATGAGGGTACAAATTGGGTTGTAAAGTGAACCAAGAAGTTTGAGTAGTGAGGGGTATATTCTTGGTACTTACTAGGTACCAGTTATTTATAGGGTACTTACAAGATACATACCTAGTACTTACCAGGTTCTAACTGAGTATATACCAGGTACATAAGACGTAAGTACCCTGTAAATACTATGTATTTACTGGAAAGTACCAGGTGCTTACCTGGTACAAACCAGATTGGTGCCAGTTACATACACCTTGCTGCATTATGCTGACCTAGAATGTTACATTATTATTTTTTAACATCGCAAAACACATGACAGTTTAAAATCTTTAAAAAGTTATGCTTTTACATCATCCAGACTTTAACAAATAGTTGTGATGCTGTGAGAATGAAAATGGACTGTACTTCCTTTCTACTTTATCAATATACTCAAAGTGTTTTACACTAGGGTGCCTGTGGCTGAATGGTTAGAGCAGTCGTCTTCCAATGCAAGAGTTGGGGGTTTGACTCCTCCAGCCGTCACATGCCAAAGTGTCCCTGGACAAGACAGTGAACCCCTCATTGTCTCTGATGTGTGTCTCATCGGTGTATGCATGTTCTAAACCATTGATTAGTTTCTTTAGAATGATTTGTTCAATTAGCTTTGTAGAGATCTAGTATAGAGCTGTATGAATGGGTAAATGAGAACACATTGTAGTGTAAAGCGCTTTGAGTGTCTAGATAAGATAGAAAGGTGCTATATAAGTACCGATCATTTACCATTTACTACAATCTGTGCCCTCAATTACTCATTCATACAGCACTCTACTAGATCTATACAGAGAATAACCAGTGCTTTATCACATTCATACACTGATGAGACACACATCGAGGCAATGGTTCAGTGTCTTGCCCAGGGACACTTCAGCATGTGACTGCTGGTGGAACCGAAACCCCCAACTCTCACATTGGAGGACAACTGCTCTAACCACTCAGCCACAGCACGCCCAAGAATGAAATTATGAAAAGGTACTGTGTACAGTGTACCGTACTAAAGCCACTGAGGAAGTCTTCTTTATGGACTTATAATGTTTCTGGATTTATAGACATCAACACCCTGTCTTTTCACTGCCAGTTCATGCTGAGATGTAAGGTTCATTTAATTATGACACAAGAACAACAAAACATGATTGATATATTTATTAAACGTCTCAAGATGTTAATCAAGTGTGCACATGTTTATATTTTAAGGCTTAAGAGAAACACTTTGTAGTTTCCCTCCATTTAGTCAAGAGTTAAAGGTGCTTTTCTCTCCTCCTGGGTACATATGCTGCAAACGGACCAAGTTCACTGCTTATTCCAGTCCAGGAGAAAATACAGAACACTGAACGCACCACAGTTAAACTAATGTCAAAGGGACAGTCATACAGTAGCAGTCAAAGCAGTGTGTTTGGAGAATCAGGGAGAAATAAATATTTTTCATGATGTCTGAAATCCCACTCAGGCATCACGGTGGCTCAGTTGGTAGAGCTGCTGTCTCTCAGCGAGGTTACCAGATCAAATCCCAGTTGGGGGCCTTTCTGGGTGGAGTTTGCATGTTCTCTCCGTGCTTGCGTGGGTTTTCTCCAGGTACTCCAGTTTCCTCCCACAGACCAAAAACATGCATGTTAGGCTGATTGATAACTAAATTGTCCCTAGGTGAGAAAGAGAGAGTGAATGGTTGTTTGTCTTGTTTGTCTCTGTGATGGACTGGAGACCTGCCCAGTGTGTCCCCGGCCTCTCACACAGTCACTGCTGGATATGGGCACCAGTGACCCTGCGTCCTGACAATGAAAAAGCAGGTAAAAGATAATGGATGGATGAAGTCATGCTACCGGCTTCCCTAACTTCTTTGACTTAGACTTTTGAGCTCCTCTGCTGTCTGAAGTCCTGTCATTTGATACAAACATCAGGATTCTAGCTTTTTTCCTTCTTATTGACAGGCGTCGCAGCCCTGGACTCTGAAGTGTCAGGAAAGATCGGACTCAGAGCGGTTATTTATTACTTCTCAACAACTATCATTGCAGTTATTCTGGGTGAGTTCATCTTTTTCTATTATCTAAACTCCTTTTTTAAACTTGATTCTTTTTTGTTATTTTATCATTTGGATCTTTGTGGGCTTGTTCATTTGCAGGAATTATTTTGGTGATGACGATCAAGCCAGGTGTTTCACAGGACGCTGAGCACATTGACCGAACTGGAACAACTCCCAACGTTACTACAGTTGACACACTCCTAGACCTTCTCAGGTAATTATTTTGATATGTCCATGTGACTGTACTGTACCAGGTCTAACATTATTTACAACAGCTTACACAAATAACATTGTTCATGCTGCTGCTACTTTTAAAATAGTTCTAATATGATGGCGATACCAGTTTGTATGCATCAAACCCATCACAAAACAGCCTTGGCTTCCTTACAGCACACTTTCAACAGTTTCTAATAAACTTTTCATGGCCTGCTCTGTCCACTAAATTCAAAAGTCAAATCAAGAATTGGCTTTCTATACTGTAATAAATCAACTTTCACTCATTCTGTAAATCACAAAATGGTCAAAATGGCCGTTCTCCCCACCTTAGATCACGGTGACGTCATTTATACGTTTGCTTCAAAAGCATCTCTCAATAAACTGGATATCTTACTAATGTCTGTGTTTGAAGAGTCACTTGCTACACAGATATTACCACTGTCCATGAGTCAAGCTGTAATCTCACTGTTACCTAAGAAAGATAAAGATCCTCTAAACTGCGGCTCATATCGACCTATATCGCTCTTAAATACTGATGTAAATCTACTTGCAAAGGTCCTGGCAAAATGACTAGAGCGGGTGGTCCCCACAGTTGTCCCGCCTAACCAGAAGGGTTTGTTAGCTCTTATCTGAAGGACTAACTCTTTTTGTCACAGTTTCCTTCTGCTACCCAGTTGTGGATTTCCAAAAAATACAGTCTTAAACACGCTTCATTTGCGTGTGTTGATTGAGCTGTTGGTCTTGATGATCAAATTGCTCTGAAAAACACCTGGTCATTGAGCGAGTTTTGATCATTTCTGGTGTTAATTGTGAAACATTTTCATCAAGTGTGTTGGAGCTATCCCTAGAAGAATACAGGTATAACTCAGATGAATAGGAATGCAATAAGCATCAAACAAAGGGTGCGTTTGAGTTGCAAGGAGTCCAGTTGTACTTGTTTCAGGCAGAGTTTGACTTCAGCGGTCCCCAAGGAATGGTGGAACCTGCCATGGACGATGAAGATAAGACAAACAGTGACAAGGACATTAATTGTTTTAGTACAAAATGATGTGTACTCCTGCTTACACAGGAATGTGATCTTTCCTTACTTCTAGTGGGTGTTGACTGAGATGATGGAAGTATCTGCTGTACTGCCGGTGAAGGCAGAATAAGGTTAACTACTAAGACGGGGCTCATCAGCACATACAGATAGAGGTATCTGTATGTGCTGCACAATGGCACAGCTGTGGTGCACTGTGCACAGCTATTAGTATGCAGAGTTCATCGTGCTGCTGAGTCTCCATGCTGGGACTTTAAAAAAATAAATTCAGGTCCAGCATCTAAATGAAACACATCAACTGGTCTGTTTTTTATGACAATGTGGTTAAAAATGATTACTGCAGATCATTGTTGAAGAAATCTGTTCAATGCTGTCTCTACTGGTCCTTTTCAGAAACTAATTTCATGCCAAGGGATCCATGCAGTGTTCAAACGTTCAGTTCAGATATTTTGCTGCGGCTGTACATTTGTAAAAATAAAATAAAATTTAAAAATTAAAAAAACAAGCAAACTGGGATGGACTTGAGACCTGTCCAGTGTGCACCTCGCCTCTCACACAGTGACTGCTGGATATGGTAAATTGAATGGACTACACTTATGTAGTATCTTTCTATCTTATCAAGACACTCAAAGCTCTTTACAACACAATATGTGCCTCATTTACCCATTCATACAGCTCTATACTAGATCTCTACAGATCTAATCTGAATCTGTAGAGACTAATCAGAGCTTTAGATCACATTCATACACCAGTGGGACACACATCGGAGGTAATGAGGGGTTCAGTGTCTTGCCCAAGGACACTTCAACATGTGACTGTTGGTGGAATCGAACCCTCAACTCTCCCTTTGGAGGACAACTGCTGTAACCACTCAACCACAGCTGCCCCTATATGGGCACCACTGCACCAGTGACCCCCATGACCTGAAAAGGAAGAAGAGGGCAAAATGATGATGATGGATGGATGGATGGATAAATAAATACATTTTAAAAAATATTAACAGACATACTTAACGGGAATCTGCTCAACTGACTTCTGTCTTTTTTTTACATCTTTAGATACGTGCACCTTGGTTAGAAATACACTGGAATGGCCAAGCACAGTGAAGTTTATGTTAATGAAGCAAGAATTTGTGCTGCCATTTTGGTAGGAGCTACAGTACATGGCGTTTTTAGTTACTGTCAGCAGACCACGAATATCTTTAGAATAATTTTAAACTCAGCCAAAAAACTCCAAAGTATTGTCATTGATTAAGGGGTGTCAAACTCACTTACACCAGGGGGACAAAATTAAAACCTTTTCAAACTAAGGGCTAGTTTCAAAATCTACAGAACTCAAGTTTCTTTTCTTGATCACAGGTTCCTCAACAAGAGTTTGATTGGTCTCATTTGATGTTCTCTGTTGTGCTTTTCACATCATAATCAAAGATTACCGAAAAAATTCAATAGATAGAAGTATTTTACGTTTCACATATCATCTTGGGGGCCAGATAAGATGTCAGCGAGGGCCACATTTGGCCCCGGGGCCTTGAGTTTGACACATATGCATTAATTGTTACAATAATTGGAACCTGTACGTCAAAAAAGGTAGTATTACTTATATCTCTTTTTGTCCCTCGTCACAAAGAGCAGAGGAGGAATTGGAAATACTCTCTGCCCTTTTGTCAAATGTCTATTTAAGTAAAATAAGGCTTTTTCTGCATGGAATGGCATTATGACCCAGCATACAGCACACACAAGGCATTAACATGTAGCTCCAACATGTAAACAGTACAGAATGATACACGTAGCACCCAGCACAGATGTGGGTAAAATATGGTCCGAGAGCCAAAAGTGGCACTTGGACAATTTATATCCAGCGTTCAAAATTCTTAATTGAAAAAAAACAAAAACTTTTAAATAAGTTGACAAAAACCTGCATTCTATCATTGAAACTTTGAAAAGTCTAAATGAAACATCTTGGACAACTTCATGAAAAAAACTTTGGATTAATATAGACTAAATCTTTTTTCAAGTTGTGTTTCTGAACTAGAACCTTAAATACTCCAAAAGCAAACATGTATTTTTTTACTTTTATTTATTTTATTTTTTGCATATTTAAGCTAACATGTAAATTGTCACTTGCCCTTTGACTGCTTTAAATATCCTGATTGCGACCTCTGTAAAAATATTGTTGCCCACCCCTGACCTAGCAAGAGCCACGCAACTTGCCTTGCATCATCAGTGGGTGGAATTTTCCCAAGATGAAACTATGATTTAAAAACAAATCAGACAAACTGAGATAAAAAAAACTTGTCCATGAAATGTTGTAAAGGTGACAAACTATATCTAAAGTGAGTTTGATCAAATTTTACAGACAAGTCATGGTAGTAACTTTAATAGCTCTGTAAATTTCATTGTCTTACATAAACTTTTTCATTAATATTTTGTGTCATGTACCAAAAAGCAGGACGCTTAAATTATATGTTCATATTCCATCAGCCTAATAGGAAAGAGGTTGTGAGCATGAAGTCTAGTGAGAAGGGTCAGAGTTCAATATCGTCCTTTTTCTGGGACCTCATATGTAGTGTCATTCTGCTGTGTTGTGCCAAATAAAAAAATTAAACGATTAAGCTTAAACCTCCCTGTAAAGTTTATGTTCTTGTCAAGGAATGGTTGTGGAAGACAACGGTAAACTTTACTGACCGTCTGATTGTCTGTCTCCTCTCTTTGCATCAACAGAAACATGTTTCCAGAAAATCTGGTGCAGGCTTGCTTTCAGCAGGTAAGACACTTTGTCCATCTGTCACTCAGATTTCTAGATGTCAGTGAGCCTTTTAACCCTCCTGTTATGTTCGTTTCTGAGGTAAAGCAATAATGTTCGTGGGTCAATTTGACCCGGGGAGTGTTTAATCATGTAATAGTGTCAGAAACCCCAAAAATCCTCCAAAACATTTTTGTATCTGATTATTAACTCCAATACTAACCATGTCAGTTAATATTTGTGCAATTATGTTTTTTTTATTTATCATAAATAAAGGATAAATGACAACAACTAACTCATTTTGACATAAAAAATGTGATTTACATTTTTTATGTTTGCTGAAAAAACCTACACACAAAAAAAACAATAATTATCCTTGAAATTGATTTTTGTAAAAAAAATTTATATTACATTTTAATTTTTTTTTCAAAGGGTGATCTTTATAATTGAACTTGAGACACATATACTGTTCTGGGTCAAATTGACCCGCTCATTAAAATCAAGACAAATGAGTCATGAAGATTTGTATTGAAAGTAAACTTTATTCAGCCACTGTTTTTTGAACCAGAAATGAACAAAACAACAAAATAAGATCTTAGGAACACTAACACAGTGCATGTATGTCTGTGAATCTCCACAGCTCACAAGTAACATCTCATCATGTTGTGATGGAATACACCATGCAATGAATACAATCAGAAATACCACAAAAATGAATATATGTAAATTAACTAGATGCTTTAGTTTTGTCATCTACACAACACATGAAGGACATGTCATCAGACTGTGCTTTGTTCAAATAAATTTTGCACATTTCACACAAGTCATCCTCGTTTTGACCTCATTAGATGGCTTGCAAACCTGGCACCTCTTCCTCTTCTTTTTTCCTCCAGTAGCAACCTAGAAAGACGAATAAAATGGTTAATATATTTTTTGAAGCTCCTAAGACACACATAACATGCACTCGCACAAACACACACTTTTACTTACCTCACACACTGATGTACTGGATGTAGTCCTCTCCTGGATCTCCTTTACTACAGCTGCAGTAGCTGGGGTCCTTGGCATATGCTGTCTTCGTTGTATATGTGGTACCACAAGTGCCTTGCCCAGCTCTTCTAAGAAAATGCACCTCTTGTACAGCTTTGACACATTCCACTCCGGAAAGATTTCCGTCCAAATGACAAATGTGTTGTATGCTGATACATCAATGATGTTGTAAAAGATGACCAGTGGCCAGGGTGCAGTCAACTCGCCTTCCTTCTAGATTTGTCATTTGAAGAATGATTTTTTGTATTACATTAGGCATGAGTAGCTCAAAGACCGACTTGATATCTGTGACTCGAGTTACTGCCATCCTAGTAGGCCCTGGCACTGTCTTTATTATATTTTCTGCACACTGTTTTCCGAGGTGCTTAGTTGGAGATGAAGACCACTGAATTTCACCATTTTTTGACATGAATGTCTTGCTTGGAGAAACATGAATGTCACTTTCATCAATTGGTTCATAATCAGAATCATCAGACTCAGAATTGACCTCAATACTGTCTTCAGCTTCAGACACCTCCTCTTCTATTTCACTGTCATGATCAATGAGAAGTTCCAGCACTTCCTGGGCTGTAAACATTTTTTTCCTGCTGCTCATTTCCTGACCTCTGACAGTGACAATATCACATGTACCTTCAGTGTGTAATGTGTTTAGGACTCCCTTGCAGAGAGTATTTATGCCCTCCCACCCCTCCCCTTCTGCTGAGTGTCCACTCAGTGTGGGTGGAGTTTCCCCACAGGAACAGAAAAGATTCCCGTCAAAAGTTGTATAAACACCTGCTTTCTCACAGTTTCCTTGTGAAGTAAAGAGAATAGTGAGAAAGTGGGTTTGTGTGCACGTGTGCATGTGTGTGGTGTGTGTGTGTGGTGTGTGCGTGCATGTGTGTGTATGTGTGTGTAGTGAAATATGTCTCATAGTTTCAAGGAAACAAATAGAATTGGATATTTTTTTTACCCTTTTCACCCTTCAACTTGACTGCCGGGTCAAATTGACCCGAACAGTATCGATGTAGCCAGTAGACGCAGGGGGTGGTACAAATGTGTAAAGTGAACCATTTTCAATTTATATGTTGAGTGGAACTATTAAGACAAATAGAAAAAGTTTCATGCAGAAAAAATATTTTTAACTATTTAAAAAAAAAAATTTAACTTTAAAACGGGTCAATTTGACCCGCAACATAACAGGAGGGTTAAATGTGCACCAGGTGAGAAAGCAGCAGGTGGCAGTGTGAATGGAGGACCCATTTAATGTACCAACTTTCACTCTAGTATAAAACGAAGCGGAAAGAGCTAGAGCCGGAGAAAGTTTCTGTCAACACTACGACAATTCCACCCCTAACAACCACCATCGCAGCAGTACTGGAGGTACGTGTACAAATGATTGTCCTATTACCTGTTACCTGAGGCCATGAAAGACAGTTCAGCTCAATTCAATTCAGTTTATTTATATAGCGCCAAGTCACAACAGAGGTCATCTCAAAGCACTGAACAGAAACATTCATATACATAAAAAGTGTGACCTCCTCCATGAGGTCTACACTCATCTCCAGGCCAGCGGTCACTCTTTCAGGGATGAAGATGTTCACATCCTGGACAGAGAGGAACGATGGTTTGAGAGAGGAGTAAAGGAGGCCATCTTTGTGAAGAGAACCCGTCCATCATTAAACAGGGGTGGAGGCCTCCGGGTTCATCTGTCCCCCTCTTACAATATTGTTATTGCTAGTATCACTCAGCCCTCTGTGAATAGCAAGTGGACATCAGGGCATTAACGACTGATGATCCTCCTTTATCATGTGAACAGCTGGTTTTGAAAGTCAACAACAAACTGGTTGATCCGGTGCTTAATTTGAACCGGATCCTGTCGATATAAGATCCGGGAACTCTCTTATTTTGACAGGGTGTGTTCCGGTAACTGTTTGCTCAGACCCAGCTTGGATCTGGTAACTCTCAGGCTTACGAATAATTAAGTTATGAACAAATATGACTGCTTTGAATGAATAAAACTTATATTGGATTTGTAAACTTAAAATAATTACATAAACACTAATTTTAAACACAACAGCCACTTACGAGCATACAAACTGCCACTTCAAGTAGCATTTCTGTGTCTACTCTTAAAAAACTATCTCCGCCCCTAAAAGAGTGGTGTGGGGGAGTGCCAAGCTAACCAGGCAGTCATATGCTGGCAGGTGCATGGACGTTTCACATGTGGAGTGGAACAACAACAAGCAGGGACAAAGTTGGGCTTGATTCCAAACCTGACTTACTTGACGGTTCCGTTAAGTAACGGGGGGGGGGGGGGGGGGGGGGGGGGGGGGGGGGGGGGTCTTGATAGAAGCGGAGTGTTCACAAATCTAGGTAGACGTAGATGATTAACAACCCATTAAAATACACCAAAATGCAGGAAATCGTATCTACTTTATTCAAAATTTTCTGTTGGAGATCCCCCAGCCCCCACCCAACACCCCCTACCCCCCGGCCCACTCGCTATTTGTGTTCCAGCATTGATTGGATTACAAATTAAGTCCTAGGTTGATCCACTATGAGAAGGTGCTATTTATAAGACTGAGCTTATTACAGCTCTTCACAATGACAAAGTCTTTTGGATGAAAGACAAAACGTTAGAACAATTTTTTTTTATTTATTGCATCTGTCCAGGGGACCTGACTTAACTTTGTTAGATTTTTCTACCTGGATTATTGAGCATGCATCAGGATAAAAAGTAAGTTAATAACATTATTTATCTGAGGGTTCAGCAGACTGCTTTGAGACAGGTTATCATGAATAACTGCCTCTATGAGTGTGAAGATCTGTTACCAAAATACCTCATAAACCACCGGACATATTCCATTAAACTCTCAGAAAGTAATTACTGGATGGGCATCTACATCTGATTAACCTTTGGAGTCAACCCAATTATATATGGCCACCACAGCTAATCAACATTAGCTGATACAAAAATAGTTATAACAATTCAAGTTATTGAGCTAAAATTAGATTTGCTAGTGGCTGAATGGCATATTCTACAAATAATCTGAGATTGCTCTTTAGAATCAGCTAAAAATGTGCAAACCTAATGAATTATATTTGTTTCTTTTTTTTAGAACATCACTAAGGAATACAAAATCGTTGGCTCATACTCAGATGGGATCAACGTGTTGGGCCTTATTGTGTTCTGTGTAGCTTTTGGCCTTGTCATTGGGAAGATGGGCGAGAAGGGTCGAATCCTACTGGAATTTTTTGATGCCCTGAATGAAGCCACCATGAAGCTGGTCCAGCTAATAATGTAGTACGTACAATTTTTTTATTTTTATGTAACAAACAAAGCAACGAGGTTTAAAGGGGGGAAACTTTCAGCAAGGAGATTCTCTGAATCACTATCCTGTAGTACAGAATGAACAAAAAAGTTATTCTTGTAGTGTTTCAGAGATACTCTCCTTGACTCTCACCACACTTTCTACACCAGAAGCATGTTCCCATGACAATACTACTAGGCAAGTCCACAATTTCACTAAGTCCAAGGCCCCCACCCTGGAAAATTTTTCTTGGGCCATGTAAAGATTATTCTATGTGCTAGAAGATCATGCTGAACTACCAGGAAAACTTGCAGAAAGTTTTAGAGTGGTGGCCAGCAGAAATCACAACTCATTATTGGGGGTGGTGGGTGGTGGTGGGGAACAGGAAACAGGGAGTTTTTTAGAGCAATTTTTGAGTGGGTTGCTTAAGATACAGTAAGAGGTGTGGGATGGAATAGATGTTTGGTTCTTGTCAGTAAGCACCAGGCTCAGCCCAAATTAAGTACATGGGTTTGCCTTCCTGTGGACCCACCACCTGCAGGAGGAGCCATAGAATTTGGGTGTCCAAGGGTGATAGCCAAAAGCGGGAGCCTTGGCACACTGACCCTTTTCTTACCAGAGCTGGCTTTTGGGACACGGAATGTCATCTCTGCGGTGGAGAAGGAGCCTGAGCTTGTGTGTGAGGTTGAGAGGTACCAACTAGATGCATTTAGGCTCGCCTCAACATATAGAATGGGCTCTGGAATCTACCTGGGAGTAGGGTTGGGCATCGAGTCTCAAGAATTGATTGGAACTGGGACTAAAGTTCCGATTCTCCCAGAATCATTCAATCTTTTTTATTTTCGATTCCTACGTTCGATGCCAAGTCTGCTGACAGGAAGAAGAAGCCGCTGAACACCAACAAAGAAGAATCCACAGGAAGTGTGTGTGTATCCATGGGCAGTGAGCGGCCGCGATCGTAAGTGTGATTTAACTTTAATAAAATAAATGACTAGTTGGCTCAGTGCAGCAATTGCAATAATTTTATATTGTGCAAAGGAGGGTGCACGACAAACATCTCATGGTGTAGAAGTAACGTAGTGTCCCGTCTTTGACGTGCTGCGCTGGGCTACTTTCACTGCCTTCTCCTTCGGATCTGACCCTCAGCCTATCATCACACTACAGTCAGAATCAGATAAGTAAACCTATAATCTACGTCTCATACCAACATTAAGGCAGCTAACAAGTTATACTCGACTTAAAGCGACAAGTCCACTCAAATACAAACACCATGCTAACGTTAGCTCATGTATTTTTTCATGGACAAACGACCTGAAATGGCTAATAATGTTAGCCAGACTCCACAATGTGCTCCTTCATTCACCATAGTGTCCAAGGGAAATATGTCAGTGCAACAAATTGAAGAGTGCCACAGAACGTTTACATCATATATTGTGAAAAGGTTTCATTCCTTTTCAGATGTGGAATCGCCAACATTTAGGTTAGTTAGGCAATAACAGCAGCGCTAAGCTAATTATTAGTCCCTCATAAGCTAACGTTACAATAACAGTGACATTACATGTTTGTTTATATGTTTGCAGGGACATTGTGAAAACCATCAACCCAAGTACACACCACCTACCATGGACCACTTGTCAATAAGTTAATCATCTTGTTATAAAGTGGAGAAGAGCTGCTCTGCGCTTTAAACAGAAAATGTATGACGTGTCTGGGAGCAGATCCAGAGAAAGCTGATTGAGCAGGTGAAATGTCATTCACAACTGTCCTTTTCTGCTTTTAAAATCTGAAATCTAAATATTAGTAATGTTCTTTATGGTCAACAGAGGAAGACTGTGGAGATGATGGGGTCACCATGCAGTCTGAGGAAAGGCCTGAGAATGAGGGAGTGGAGGATGAGGAGGAGAGTGTAAGTGTATGATAGCTGAAATTATATAGATTCTCAATCTTAATAATGATCATATCTTTAATGATCCCTTTTTAGTGATAATACTGATGAACCTGTTGTTTGTTTAGGAGCCGCCTCCCTGAAATTTGTCCAGAAAGTCTCCACTGGAGGAGCTTTTTGCTGAGGAAGAGGCACATAATGTAATGTCACAGCTCCATGTCCATGAAGAAACAAGTGGAGAGAGGGCTGCACATGTACCAGAACATTCTACCAGCCGTTCTGTCTGAGGACCTGCTGCTGGTGCTGGAACCAACACAAGACTTATCCTTTGCTGTCAGATCTTGCTTTCTCATATCTATGTGTTCAAGCTTCTTCCACACCCAGCAAACATCCAGAACATTCACACATGCTGCCTGAGAAGCAGATATGATCATGTTCCTCAACAAGAACTGTTTCTGATTTTATACTGTACCTGCTGCTAATCTGTACTGGGTTGTACAAGTTGTTCTTTTTTGTTTGATATTCTGCAGCAGGGTAGTCCATCAGTGGGAGCTTGGTAACATGGCTGCAGCATCACACACTGGACATGTGGAAATGTGTTTCCATGAAGTTTTCAAAAATAAAGCTCTCTTGTGAAAGTGTGTCCCTGTGTAAATAAATTAATAACATTTATATTCAAGTTCATAAGTTTGATCTTTATATACTGGTTGAAAATAGCTCTGTGAGAAATTCAGAGTAAAGTTAATAAAAAGTAAAAAGTTCATAGAATTAAAATTCAAATAGAAGTTCAAATTATTTAATCCAGAAAGAACTCTGACTAGCTAGCTCATTTATAACATGTAAACTTTTTTAATCCCATCTCTAAAAAGAGTCGGAATCGAGAATCGATAGAAACCGAAATCAAGAAACGCTAGGAACCGAAATCGAAACGAGGAATCAGAACCGGAACCGGAACAGTTCAAATTCAAATGATGCCCAACCCTATTGAGAGGGGCTAGACCTTTTCCACTCATAGATGCACATAGTGAGAGGTGCTGTACTGGTGTGGGTCTAATTAAACTACTTAAAGTGCTTGGCACTTGCACACTGGAGTTTTCCCTCAGTAGATGAGAGGAGAGCTTCCCTGTGCCTTCAGGTGGGGGTAAAGGCTCTGAATGTAGTTTGTGCCTACGTGTTGAACAGCAGTTCAGTGTACCCAGCCTTCTTGGAGTTCTTAGTGGGGCTACATGAAAGTGCTCCAGCTGGAAACTCCTTTATTCTGTTTGGGGACTTCAGCGCAAATGTGGGTAGTGACATATGACCCAAGGGCGTGATTTGGCAGAATGGCCTCTTGGCTCTGAATCCAAGTGATGTTCTGTTGTTCAGTTTCTGTACAAGTCACCATCTATCCATCACAAACACCATGTGTAAACATAAGGGTGTCCATAAGTGCACATGGCACCAGTACACCCTAAGCCACAAATCAACGATAGACTTTGTAGTCATGTCATCTGACCAGTGGCCGTATGTTTTAAACACTCGGGTAAAGAGAGGAGCTGAGCTGCCTAATGTTCACCACTGTGGTGAGTTGGATCAGATAGAAGAAGATGCTGGACAAAGAGACCTGTTAGACCCGAACGTGTAGTAAAGGGTTGCTAGGAGAAAAGTCCACCAGAAGAATTTACATCTCACACCTTCAAAAGGCAGGGGACATTGAGACCGCATGGGCCACATTCTGTGCCTCCAACAGTGAGGCAGCTGCCTTGAGCTGTGGCCATATGGTTGTCAGTGCTTCCTGCAGCATCCATTCTCAATCCCAGTGATGGACACCTTGGGTGAAAGAAGGCATTAAGCTAAAGAAAGAGTCCTATTGGGCCTTGTAGACTTCTAAAACTCTGGAAGCAGGTAGGGTAATGTTGACCTCAGCCAGTGATGTCATTGTATGATGGAAAGAATCTCATCAGTACATCTTACATAAGGGAAGCGGAGTTAGGGAAATTGGAGGTTAGTCCATCCATAACCAGGACAGGTTGTGAAGGTAGTTAAAAAGCTTTGTTTTAACAGGGTCAATGGGGTGGAAGAGACAAGATCCTCTCGGAGTTCCTCAAGGATGACACATTTTTGCATGATTCTGTAGATATTGGGGGCAGTGCCACTGGATTGGCAAGGTTTGCAGATTTGTAAAGTTGCCAATTATCTGCAAGACTGAGAAAGTGTTTCTTCATCAAAGAAGTAAAGACCTGTTTTTGACCACAATGTTCTAAAACACTTTAGTTATATATGTTTTAAAAAGTTTTAGTTTGAATACTAAATATTCACAATGATGTCACATTTAATAATTAAAAATTGTATTAATCAAAGACTTTTCTTCTCAGCTGTTTTTCTAATCTTCTGTTCCTCCCCAGCTACATGCCAGTTGGTATCCTGTTCCTAATTGCTGCAAAGATCATCGAGGTAGAAGACTGGGAAATCTTTAGGAAGATGGGGCTTTATATGGTGACTGTGCTGAGTGGGTAAGCTGCTCATTACTCTGTGTTCTCCTACTCCGAACACCAGGATTTATGGATGAGGTTTAGGCCCATTCTCCCTGCAGTGATACAGTAAAAGCTGAGCTCTTGTTGTTCACTGATAAGGACCAAGGACATTTAAAACTGCTCAACCTGCACATGCAGTAATGAAGGCTTTGCTTGTGCCTCTAAATCTCAGTGACACCAATAAAGACCTTACTGTAAATCCTCTCTTGTTAGGGTAAAGGTTGAGTTTGAGGTTCCTAATAGTTTGTGTGACAACATCAGACTCACCCACACTTTCTACAACTGTTCTTAAAAATAATCACTATAAAATACTTTTTGGACATCGCAACATTTTGGGTTTTATTGGTGTATTTTAAAATTGCAACAGTCTTGCATATCAGTTTCTTCCTGGTCTATATTTGTGGAATGAATGAGTAAAAAGTAAAAAGTAGAAATAATAATTTGAGATGTTTCAAGTTGCTTGCATGCACTGGATACAGAGCAGCGGCGCCGGATTCATTTTTGAGGTGGGGGTCTTTCGTCACCCTGCACTCTCTGTTCATACGCACCTTGAATGTCAGGCACACATGTTCGTGGCAAATTGACCCGGTTTTGGTCCCAAGTCCAGATCAGGGGATCCCACCTGAGACAGTCCTTAACCAGGTAATATAAACCCAACAGGTAACCCTCCTGAACCAGTGAACTATAGTTCTGGCTGATGAACGTGCACGCATACAACCTGCAGGTTCTCGTCGCACATGAATGCAGCTCTCTGCACTGCAGGCTCCCTTCTGGATGAAGATGACGGGCGGCTGCTGCAACTTGGCAACCCAGTTACTGACCCGCTACAGCTTGCAGATGTTCCGGTAGGAGACCCCGTTGCTGCCACAGACCAGTTCTGAGCTGCTGCACATGCACATGCTGGCCTTGACCCTCCTCCTGACTGTGGCAGAAGTCCCCGGCTACCGCCCAGCAAGCACTCCATCCCTTCGGCACAGCCCGGCTCCTCCGAGCCGCCACACGGCTCGCTCTCTGCGGACGCTCATTTTGGGCAGCAGCCGCAGTGGTCCATTACATACCTGGCCAGGCAGTCCACCGGGACCTGGAGGCACCAGGACTGGTCGCAGGTCTCCGGACAGCTGAAGGTGAAACGCCGGACCACGACACGCGTGTCGGAGAGCAGCCAGGAGGAGAGCAGGACCGCTATGCACAGGAGGAACCCGGACTGCATGGTGACTGGACGGAAACCCAACAGGACCAAAACGGCTGGACTCTGGGTCTCTGAGAGTCTGCTTTCAAAGTGGACGGGGGTCAGAGGACTGGAACCAGCAGGACTAACCGAACTCTGGGAAACTTTTCTGCTGCTGCGCGGTGGCCCACAGGTGCTATAAATACTGCATTTGGGCCAGATGTGGCACAAATATATAATTCTCATTTCATTTTTAGGTTGATTTGGTCCAGACCCGGACCGGATCAGAGCCAAAACATATTTTGCAGGTGTCAGGCAGGCTCATGATCCAAGCCCGACCCGGAGCTGGCGCATGTGCATAACCCCTCCGGTGACAGTTATATGGATCTGGAGACTTGTAAACAGATTAGGCCCAGATCTGAATGCTGTAGGTTTACCTCTGTCTCTGTCTGTATGTAGACACACACACACACACAGCTTGTCGGCATTGGGCGTATCCTGTGTAAATGTCTGGGACCAGCTGAAAGGGCAGGGCCGTAAAGTGTGTGGGGGGGACAATGGCCCCCTGGGCCCCCTGTTCTGGCGCCACTGATACAGAATTCCAATCAAGATACAAAACCGGATTCCAAAAAAGTTGGGACACTAAACAAATTGTGAATAAAAACTGAAAGCAATGATGTGGAGGTGCCAACATATAATATTTTATTCAGAATACAACACAAATCACAGATCAAAAGTTTAAACTGAGAGAATGTATCATTTTAAGGGAAAAATCTGTTGTTTCCAAATTTCATGGCCTCAACAAATCCCAAAAATGTTGGGACAAGTCCATTTTTACCACTGTGTGGCATACCCCCTTCTGGGGACAGAGGAGACCAGTTTCTCAAGTTTAGAAATAGGAATGCTCTCCCATTCAGGTCTAATACAGGCCTCTAACTGTTCAATCGTCTTGGGCCTTCTTTGTCACACCTTCCTCTTTATGATGCACCAAATGTTCTCTATAGGTGAAAGATCTGGACTGCAGGCTGGACATTTCAGTACCCAGATCCTTCTCCTACGTAGCCATGATGTTGTGATTGCTGCAGAATGTGGTCTGGCATTATCGTGTTGAAAAATGCAGGGTCTTCCCTGAAAGAGATGACGTCTAGATCAACCTTTATTTAGACAGGTAAATCCCATTGAGCCTCGAGGACTCATTTACAAGAGAGACCTGATTTCAACAAAGAAAGATGACAACAATGGACAACAGCAACAACAATAAACAGTTATAAAAAAATCATACTGCAGGTTTTTTTTTTTTTTTTTAACAAATAGGATGGCTAAAAGGAAAAGGTAACAAAAAAAAAACAACAAAAAAAACCAGCTAGATTCCAAGACAAATGTAGAAAACTAAAAACAGGAACATGTCTGCATTGGACCCTGCCAGGTGTCCAACAGATTCTTGAAGCCACTTAGAGAGGTCAAGGTCGAGAGCTTCAAATCTTTTTGTAAGATATTCCAGGAAACAGGAGCGGAATAGGAGAAGGCCCTCCCTAGATGTTGTTCTAGAACCTGAACATAGTTCTCTGCATTAATGGTGCCTTTCCAGACATGCAAGCTGCCCATGCCACAAGCACTCATGCAACCCCATAACATCATTGATGCAGGCTTCTGAACGGAGGCTTCTGAACGGAGCATTGATAACAACTTGGGCTATCCTTGTCCTCTCTGGTCCGGATGACATGGCGTCCCAGTGTTCCATAAAGAACTTCAAATCGTGACTCATCTGACCACAGAACAGTCTTCCATTTTTGCCACACTCCATTTTAAATGACCCCTGGCCCAGTGCAAACGTCTGAGCTTGTGGAGCTTGCTTAGAAATGGCTTCATCTTTGCACTGTAGAGTTTCAGCTGGCAACGGCGAATGGCACGGTGGATTGTGTTCACTGACAATGCTTTCTGGAAGTATTCCTGAGCCCATTCTGTTATTTCCTTGACAGTGGCATTCCTGTTTGAGGTGCAGTGACGTTTAAGGGCCCGGAGATCACGAGCATCCAGTAGAGTTTTACAGCCTTGACCCTTACGCACAGCGATTGTTCCAGATTCTCTGAATCTTTTGATGATGTTATGCACGGTTGATGATGATAACTTAAAAGTCTTTGCTATTTTACGCTGGGTAACACCATTCTGGTATTGCTGCACTATCTTTCTGC